ATTTTAAAGGAAATTTCCTGCACTTCATCTCTTTTTATCCTTACAACCCCTGGGCCTGGGCTTTACCCCTAATTTACAGAGAGGGAAACTGAGGCTTTGAGAGGTTCAGCAGCCTGCCCAGTGCGCACCAGCTGCTAAGAGGCAGAGCTGGGCTTTGAAGCTGGGACTGCCTGCCTCTAACTCTGCTCTGGGGACCACACATCCCAAGTGAGCCAGCTTTCCCAGGGGTCTTCAAACCATGCTCTGAGGGCCCTGACCTTCGGCAGAGGCGCCCAGGGCCACGTGAGAGGCAGGCTGAGGCTGAGGGGGCAGAGAGCCAGTCCCCACTGGGTCCAACCGGGCCAATTCTACTTCATTCCATCTTACATTCGGGGGTCTGTATGACATTTTTCTCTCTTTTTTTTTTTTTTATAATTTTATTTATTTATTTTTCCCCCCAAAGCCCCAGTAGATAGTTGTATGTCACAGCTGCACATCCTTCTAGTTGCTGTATGTGGGACGCGGCCTCAGCATGGCCGGAGAAGCAGTGCATCAGTGCGCGCCTGGGATCCGAATCCGGGCCTCCAGCAGTAGAGCGTGCGCACTTAACCGCTAAGCCACGGGGCTGGCCCAGTATGACATTTCTCTTGAACCAAAGATTTCACTACTGAATTAAAAAAGTGGAAAGCACTGTCATATCTGCCGCCCCTAAGAGTCCATTCATTCAGGGCAGACTTGGTGCACTAACCTGGAGAATCATCCCAGAACAGCGATTTCACCCAAATACAGGGAGTAAAATATTATTTTTATACTAAAACATACATGGTTATTTTATGGAAGGTAAAGTAAAATGTGTATAAATAATTACAGTAAAACAAGATGGACATTCCCAAAAAACGTCCAGGTTCACCAACCGTAGCCACGGCACAGGGCAGTGGGCACTGGCTCCCCTCCTCTGAGCAGAGAGTGGGAAGCTGTGCCCTACAGGAAGGCATGTCTGTGCAGGAACCAGCCTGTCCCTCGGGAAGCTGAGGGTCCTCAGGGACCCAGGGCCCAGAGGGTGCTCCCTGGACACTGGGGAAAGAGGTGGGGGGCCACAGGCCTTGCGGGTGGGCAGGGTTTGGAAGAGCCGAACGGCTTTCCCCACAGAGGGGGTTAAGTCCCTGAAGAACCCTTCACTGGAGGGAGGCTTTGGGGCCGTGCTCTGGGGCAGGGATCTGGGCAAATGCTCCAGAGAATAAACACTCCGTACATGAAAAAGTTCCTTATTGCCTCTAATAGCAAAAACCTACAGAAACACCACCGGGTCCCCAAGCAGGAGCCTGGCAATGCCACCTACAGCACATCAACCCGAGGGACTAGCACTGAGTAAGAACACAGAAGTCTATTTGCTGACCTGGAAAGACCCAGCACATAAGCTGAAAAAGGCAAATTACGGAATGGCGCATATAACATGATCTCATTTTGGTAACAAAACATGAATATCCAAAAGTGTATACTTCCACAGCGAAGCAATTTTTAACTGTGCTGTCAATTTTTCTATATCAATCATATATTATTTGAGTTATAATTAAAAATTTTTCCAGCAGAAGGCAGAACTATCATGATAGAACTTCATCTTTCTCAGAACTCTGAAGTCTCCAAAAAAAGAAAGTTAAATACGAAAACCATGCCCGACACGGGAAGCGCTCGTGAGAGGACACCAAGTGAAAAAGCAGAGGATAAGAAGGCATATGCGCCACGTCTGCAGTTCCAGGGGTTGCGTGGGGACAGGGACGCACAGAAGCCCCCGCACACGGGAGAGCAGCAGTGTCGGGATGGGCCGGGTGAGGGCTTTTTCTACCTTTAAGCACTTTCTAATGGTGTAGCAATGCATCTTTTCCTTAATCAAAACCAGGTTTAACAGACAAAGAAAAGCCAGGCCAGTCCCTGCTCAGGGCTTTGTGCTGGCGGCTCCCACCCTTCCAGCAGGCCTGCAGCGGAGCGACAGCGCCCCGCCGCGGCTACGGCAGGAAGGACCGACGCCTGTTGGCTGGAAATGTGGCCCATGGCTGCTCCAGAAAGGCCAGAGCCAGGCCCAGATGAGTGCTTGCGGGTGGGGTGCAGCGCACAGCTGGGAAAGGCAGGGCTGCGCGTCTGCAGAAGAAGTGAGGGCACAGGACGGAGAAATACACACGCAAAGCGTAAGTCACCTGCAAAGAACAGAATGTTGCCCACCAAAGAGCGGGGTGGGCAGCACTGTGCAAGAAAGTCAACAGGCCCTTCTGGGTGTCCCAGGGGAGGCCAAGGGGAAACTCGACTTCCAGACATGGTTCTGCCACACACGCACAAGGCTTTGGACAAGCCCCCACTCAACTCTGTCCTCCACTTTCCCATCTGGGAAAGGGGGATATTCTTTAGGCCCTGGCGACCTTCCAGTCTGCTGAGAGACTGGAATCGAGGGAGAGGACAGAGAGGTGGCGTCAGGTCCCGACTCGGCCATGTGTGGCTGTATGGATGTGGATGAGCTACTTGACTTCAGCTTCCTCACACACAATGTGAGCCTGACGCCAGTACTGGCTGCCTAGAGCATCATTTCCCACACCAGACCCACAATGGATCCTGAAAGCAATCTGGTGCGTCATGACCTTTTTTAAAAAAGTGAAATCGAATAGAAAACATCTATTCACGTAAAGGGTAATCAGTTCCCGGCACTTAATAAGCTCTCAAAAAATGTTAGTTCTTATTCCTGATGGAGGCGATAGCACTGACTATTGTCACATCGGTCATTAAAAGAAAAACTGGCAGAAGGTCCTAAGCCTCTGGGATCCCTTTTAGGTGCTAAGCTCTCCTAGGATTCAGGAACGAGGCCCCCAGAGTGCAGAGCTGGGGACAGTGCTGGGGGGCAGGTGGTCCCCGGATGGCTGACACACCTCCTGACAATCTGCTACTGGAGGCAGTAGGAAATTCAAGGTGGCCCTTGCCAACCCCAAAGAGCATTTTCCTACCCAAAAAAGGAGCCGCTTTGCTAAGCATGTCCTTCAGCCAAAGGCTGGCACAAACCACTGAAGTCCATCTAGGCTTGGCACTGCGTGCGGTTACTCAGAACAACAGAGCCTGAGCTCAAACAAAGCCTTATCCTTACCAAAATAAAGCCCGAGAAGGGCCTGAGGGTTGTGCACCGCTGATAAGGCCATTACAAACTTCCCCCGACATAACCTCGCTGCTGCTCCCACAGGACTGCTGACCCCCCTCCAGGACAAGGCCCACCGGGGGGCAGGCCAGGAGGGGCCTGACTGCTGGGCGCCAAGGTGCTGCAGGAACTCTGGCTCTGGTCCTGTCTCCCTGAGCACCTGGCATCTTTCCCTAGTGTGAATCCTCATCCCTCTAGGCTGGCTCACGGCCACCTGCCCCACATCTCCCGAGTGCCCACTCCTCTCACGTCCCACCAGGAGAGGAAGGCTGGAGCAGAGTGGGTAGTGCTTCCAGGACTGTACGTTTCACGCCATTTAAGCTGAACTTGCCCCTGCCTGATGAATAATCGGCTCTAATTCCTTTCTGAACAGGACCTGCGAGCCAGGCCTCCCTCATCTGTTGACTGACCTTCAGGGAGTCTCTAAGGTGCTCTCATCATGTGGCGGGGATGGCACCCTGGGTCTGTGGGCTGATTCTGCGGAGGTGGTGGGGCAGAAAGATGGCAGACGAGAAGAGCGAAGTGCTAACATTTACGATAACTCACTCAATCTTCACAAGAGCCCCAAGAGATAGGTGCTATCATTACCCTGTTTTCACCGGGTAAACTGCCAGGGACTTATGGCTGGTAAATGGCAGAGCCAGGACTCAAGCCCTGGACGTCGGGCTCCACAGTCCAGGATCCTGAACTCGGTTTGAGTCCCAGGACCATTATTCACCAGCTGTCTGACCTCGGGCAAGGCACTTGGCCTCTGCAGGCCTCAGTTTCTTTAATCTGTAAAATGGGATAACAACAGCTGCTTCCAGGGCAGGTGTCAATGAGACATGGTGTGCAAAGTGCAAAATACAATGCCCGGCGCATAGTGGGTGCTCAAAAACATCAGCTCCCACCTTGTTTCTTGCATGTTTGAGCCAAGAAGAAAAAGTGAGGGCCCTGGGGTGGCCGAGTCTGTCTGGTTCCCCCCGATCTCCTTCTGGTTGGGAGGTCCTGCCCAAATACCTCAGCCTGTGCCCATCAGAGGGGCCTTGGGAGCAGACGTCTGGCTCTCTCATCTCATCCAGCCTGTAGTCCCTTCCCCCAAGCAAAGGGTGGTCCCCACAGTGGGGGCTCAGGAGCAGGTCACTGATTGGCTAAAGGCAGTCAGAGGGCCAAGGAAGGAGAAGGAATGAGAAGGTGACAGAATCAGGACACCAAGTGACCACCAAGACCACGGCTGGCTTGCCTCCTTCTCTCCAGCCAGTGTACGTGTGTGTGCACGAGTGTGCATGTGTGTGTGTCAAGGGGAGAGAGTCCACTGGCTAGGGGACCCCAGAGCTCACTCTTCCTCCTTGCATCACACACACTTGGCGCTTTATGGGTCACCAGTCCCCTCCACCCACGTGATTCATTGGGGCCTTACAACTGCCTTGAGGGGAGGCCGAGGTAAATACCCCTGCTTTAAGTACAGTGAAACACGGCCCGGGGAGCTCCAGTGACGCGCCACACGTCACAGGCTGTCAGTGATGAGCTGCACAGAGAACTCAGGCGCCCGGGCTGGCTGGTGGGTTCAGGCAGCCTGGGCCACTGAGCTGTCAGGGGCGGAGGACAGCTCTGCCAGGCCACAGTGCAGAGCTGGGGTGCGGGGGCCCGCCCTGTGAGCAGAGAGGAGCACGTGGTACCTGACGGCCAGCCCCAAAGACATGGGTGATGTTGAGGGTGAGCAGGGAGCCAGTTTCTGAGCACACCAGGCTATGCGGGGCGACGACCCAGGGAGACAGGTTTTCTCAGCCTCCCTGGAGGGAGGGAGGAGCTGTCCCTAGAGAGCCTGGAGCAGCCAGAAGGGGGCCCCACCCAGAATGGGGAGACCTACCGCATGATGCCCAGAGGGTCCAGGGCCTCCTCCTCCTCTTCCTCCTCACATTTCCCTGCATCTTCGCCCTTCAGGCCTAAGATGGGCAGACCCTCATCCTCTGCTTGGTCCTGTTGCTTGAAGAAGTCAAAAGCCTCCCCATCAGCCCCCACCTGGCTGTGTGCGTCCAGGACAGAGTAATCTCTGCTGGTGAGATCTGCAGCCCCGGGGGATCTGGTGCCTGTGGAGGGACACAGAAGAGGGCACCTGACATCCACTGCCAGGGGACCAGGAGGCACTGCACTGCATCAAGCTCCAGCTCCGGGACCTGAGCCTAGGGGCTTCCCAGCATCCTGGGACCAGGATAGCGGGTCTGGGTGGACAGGGGCAGCCGGGCTCCAAGTGCCCACTGCGGCCCCCGAGGGTTGACAGGCACCAGTCACGCCTGGAGCGGAGCGGTTACAAGCGGGAGCCTCAGAGCAAGAGAGAGGCAGCGGTTCCTGAACCTCTGCAGCCTAGAGCCTGTCAGTATCACCGGATGACCGAGCCTCTGTCCACGGGCTAACAGCTGGAAAAGCCAGCCAGATACGGGGGTTCCCATGGAACCAACAGCTTCAGGAATGTTTTACAGTTGAGAGGCGTGTCAGGGAGCTCTGCCAACCAAACCACGGATGGAGACCTGCTCTGAGGGTGTGGGCGATGAGCGCACAGTGAGCACATGGAAGATTCTGGAACAAACTGTGACGGCTCCAGTACAAAATGGCTTACATCAGTGGTTCACAAAGCATGGTCCACAGACAGGTGTCCCTGATGAGGTAAGTACAGAAAGGAAGAGCAAACGTCCAAAAATTTCCACGGAAGCTTGGCACTGTCACGACATCCAAGCACGGGATTTTGTATTTGTGACAGTATCTATCTGTGACAGACTGGGATACAAAAGCTAGTTCTTCCCCACAGATGCCCTGAGAAGCATGGGTTTAGACTACTGGTTCTTCTCTATCCAAACACTATACCTTCTACAGTGGTCACTTGTTAAAAATACCACCCTTAAGTAAAGAACTTACAGAGTGTGTGGCATATAGGATGTAATATATATACTGATGTAATATGTAAAACTAAGTGGTAAATGATTATGCTGCATTATCCTTTGTAATTTTATTAGTTCAAACGTGAAAATACCATTCAAAATCTCATGAACCATCAATTTCATGTAATAAGCATTTTACAGGTATAGATTCATTTAAATATTGCAAAAATCTCACGTGAGAGAGATTTGTACCTCCATTTTACAGATGACAAAACTGAGGCACAGAGAGACTAGGCAAGTCAGATCACCCTATCCTGCTTCTCCACAACAGAGGGGACCAGGAGGTCCGGAGTTTCTTCTAGCTGTAGACATGCCAGAGCCCCCTTATCACAGTCAACACAGCCCCCGAGAGAGGCAAACAGGAGGCGGGAGAGATCCGGGGCCCACAGGCCCACGTGGGATGTGGAAAAGGACAGAAGAAGCCTGTCCAGCAGCCTCACCCAGCCCCAGCCTCTGCACTCACTGGTTTTGGTTTTATTCCCACCCCTCATTTTTTAAAAATTGGTTTATTGGTTAATTTTCTTTTGAAAATTTCCCATCTGTCTTGCGGAAATAGGAGAGCCACAGTAGTTGGGAAAAGAGTTAAATGGAGTGGTCCAAAGAGGGGAGAAGGTACGAGGTGGGAGTCCAGCAGCTCTCGATGGGACCCCTCCCCACCCGGAGGGCACAGGACCCCTTCATCTGCCCTGGGGCGCACGTGCAAGACTGGGACCCACCCGGCGTGTTCTGAGTTCAGGGGGCTGCTGAGTGGGGGCTAGAACGTCAGCCACGGCTTCCGTAGCACTTCCTATGCGGCAGGCTATGTTCTAAGCACTTTACACGTATTGGCTTGTTTAATTCTCACAACCACCTGTCAGCCAGGTTGTCCCCACCTGACAGATGAGAAAACTGGAAAGAGAAGGGAGGAGGCTAGACAGGGACTGTGAGGGCTCAAGGTCCCCATTACTGGGGGTGGGGTGGGGGGGGCGGTGCCAGATCACCCTGGGCTGAACATCTGCCTGGAGCTACGCCCACAAGCATCTCTGGGGGGTACAAGCTGGGGGAAGTGTCCCCAGGGGCCAGGTCACCAGCCTGGCTGTGAGGGCACAGCTTTCTCTGGATATTGCAGGCCCCCAGGTCTGGCTGGCAGGAGGTGAAGAGGGGTGTTTGTGTGTATGGGTCAGGGGGAGCTCTGGGTATGGGGCTGGCAAGGAGGGGCACGGGTGGGATCAGACTATGAAGAAGGCTCCTGTGTGAGCCCCATCTGGCACCTAGGTGGTCAGTCCTGGAGGGCCGGGCCCCAGTCTCCTGCCCACCACTCCGCCCAAGGATGGAAGTAAGGTCCACCTGCCTCAACAGCCTGAAGCTTCCGGGATGCAGGGGGCAGCTATGGACGCACTCGGGCGAAGCCAGGGCAGCGAGGCCTAGTTCTGGGCCCGGGGAGACCTCAGGGATTTGGGACCCAGCCTCAGGTACCTAAGAATTCTAGCAGCTCTGGGCTGCTGGCCAGCTCGGCGTCCTTTGACACATGGCGCAGAATCTCGTCAAACACAGCTCTCCTTTCCTGGATGTCAGACTCCCCAACGAACAAGACCTTCCTGGGGAGTGGGGGAAGGCCGGCCGTTGGATAACGACTGCTCAGTTTCTGGTAAAACTCCTCAATCTCGCTGTACTTTTTGGAGACCTGGAATGAGAGGAGCATGTGGTTTCCTGAGTGAACAGTCAAAGCAGAGAGCAGTCCTCTCTCACGCCAACCGGAGGTCCCAGAGGGCTGGCTACTCGGAGAGTCCTCTCCAGGACCGGCTGCCCCAAGAAGTGCACCCTGGGTGACCCTCCGCCCAGCTCCTGCCTCAGGCCCCATTCCTTCACCCTCCCAGTCAATGCTGGGCTCAACCGGAAAGTCTCAGTGGCCTGAAGGAAAGACGCAGTCCTGGTGGGCTCCGGGCACTGTCACAGGTTGTCACATTTGATACAGGGACCCCGGCCTGGCCTGCAGGTGATCACGGTCACCACCTCCTTTCTGGGCTTTCAGAGCATTAGCGGGGTGGCCTTATGGTCTGGCCGGCTGGTAGTTCATCTTCCTGCAACAACACGAGTCACCTTTTCTCAGCGCGGATCTCTGGATCATTCCCCGTGATTTAGCAGCAGCCTTCCAGCAGGGACAGTCCTCATAGTGCTCAACTGGTGAAGACCCACATACTGCAAAGTTGGTTTCTTAGCCCTGTTGTCAGACAGGACCCCACCATGTATGGAGACCTCGGGGAAGCAGACCAGGGCTTCCACTGGTCATTAGAAGGTGGTTTCAAGCCATCTGAGTCACCTTGGAGCAGCATTCAGCTTCCCGCAGGGCCTCCTCTCGGCCTCTCCCCAGAACCCCTACTGCAGCTCAGGATTCACTCCTCACTTCTCAAGCTCCGGCTGTGCGTTTACTCCATATGTCCCCCCACCCCCAGCATGGTCTCTGTCTCAGGAGGCTCCAGGTCTCGCGTGGAGCGAGCAGCCGCAGCACAGCCAGTTGGTGTCATCGCTGTGGTCTGTGTAACCCAATATGGGTGCTCAGAGAAGAGTCATCCGCTCTGCATCACACCCCCCACCAATGGCTGGGTGTCCCCCCTTGTCTGGGACTCCTCTGTGCTCTCCCCATATGCTAGGCCTGTCTCCCCAACTCCTCTGTGGGAGCACTGAGTATGAAGACATGGACATTCCCACTTCCACTGCCCGGCCAGGGCCGTGCCCGCGGCACATCACTAAATGCCGGTGTAGCTGATGGACTGCGGGGCGTCTGGATACAGCGAGACGCAGGAGACCTGGTAACCCCACTGCCCAGCTATGTTGGAGCATGTGGCCTTGGCTAACCAGCATTATCACCAGAACCCCAGCCTGTGAGGGCTGCAGACACTGGCAGGTGGCTGGGGCACCGGGGGACTTCAGAACTCCAGCCCCACAGGAGGTCATCTAGGTCAGGGAACTGAAGCCTGCAGTTGTCAACATAGAGCCTGGCCCTGGAGCTCTCCTGAGAACAGCCCTACAGAAAGGTAAGAAGATTCTTTCACAAAAGTGACGCAGGCTCCAACCCCCAGCGGTCCTGAGAACCCGTGACTCCAGCCAGGCAGGGATTGGGCCCAACGCTGGAAGGGTGAGCGCCCTCTGCTGGCATGACCGCTCCACATGGGCTGGTCACACAGACACATCACTAGGACTGGGGTTCTGGGGGCCATGGGTCTCCAGGGCACTGAGTTTGGGGAGTTTTCAGTCAGGGGAGCCACCTCTCATCCAAGGCCCATGCTCACCAGTGTTCCAAACAAGGGCTTCTCAGGTAGCTACCTATGCAGCAACGAGAGGTGGCTACAGGAGAGGCCCTGAGCGCAGTGGGTAGGAGCTCTTGTTCATCTGGTGCCCCCTGTGCTGAGCCCACCTCGCGTCCCTTTGATGTAAGTCAGCACACATGGTGTCTGCTAAGCTGCAAACAAATACAGTGCCCCTTCCCGGGGGCTGGTTTTACTCTCCGGTTAGGAATTAAATTCATTTGTATATTAAAACACCTATATCCTTTTAAGGTGTTTTGCATGCAAAATGCTCATTTTTTTAGCTAACTCATGAAACTTCTAAGAGATTTCAGATGTCCTGGGGAGTAAATGTGCTCTCCTTTGCCCTCTAGAGGGGGTTCAAAATGTCTGAGGAGTACCTGCACGCCTGGGCACCTGTGCACGCACACACCCCACAGGGCGTGGGTGTCAAGGAAAAAGTGGCCCTGTGGGATGCGTGGAGGTGTTAAGGACGTCCTCACGCACACCTTCACGTGTAAGGCCGGCCCTCTGCAGAGGACGAGCAAACTGGCCCGGGCACTCCTCAGGGGCCTCTCCCTGACGCCCACGGACATCCACCTCAGATACAGTCATGCACCGCATAACGACATTTCGCTCAATGATGGACTGCGTATACGACGGTGGTCCCATACGACTAGTACCACATAGTCAGGTGCGTAGTAGGCTATACCATCTAGGTTTGTGTATGTACAACCTACGATGTTCATGCAATGACGAAATCGCCTAACAACACATTTCTCAGAACGTACGCCCGTTGTTAAGCAACAAGTGACTGTATACCGCAGGACTTGCGCTCATTTCACCTTGGTTTTAAAACTCTCTCCTCCCTTAGCTCCTGGGACTCCACGACACCCTCTTCTCTTCCCTCTGCCTGCTTGGAAGCTCCTCCTTCTCCTTGACTGGCCCTGAGCTGCTGGTATCCCCAGGGTTTCCTCCTCAGCCCCTCCCTCTGCCCTCCACATCCATTCTCTGGGCAACTTGATCCACTCCCAGACTTCCAACATCACCTGCGAGCTGATGCCTCCCAAATCTGCCCCTCGGCCTGAGCCCATCCGATGCTCCAGCCTCACGTACCCATCCCCGTGGATCCATCGGGTGGACACTTCGCAGCTGACACGGCCCCCTTAAACCTGTCCCTGCCGGTGCTCTTCACCTCAGTCGGCGGAAACCATCAGCCAGCAAATTATGTGCCTGTTACCTCGGAAATATTTGCAAGTCTCTCCTCTCTTCCATACCAATGACGACTGGCCTGCTCCCACCCCTCACCTGGGGGATTACTGTATTAGCGTCGTGACTCGGGTCCCTGCCCCATTCTTTCCAATCCAACTCCACTCTCCCAGCAAACCAGCCAGAGAGAGGCGAACAGGGCCACGTCACTCCCGCTTCAAACTCCTCCTTGGCTGCAGGAGAAGTCAGGCTCGCTGCGTGCCCTCCACGCCCGGGTCCTGCCTGCCATCACCTCGTCTTCTGCTTCACCCCAGACGATACTCAACTGCTCAGAGTTCCCTAGCAACACCCTGTGTCCGGCCTCCGTGCCTTTGCTTGGGCTATGCCCCCTGCCTGGCACACCCTTCTGCTGCTGCTTAGCTCCACCTGCTCCCTAAAACATAGCTCGGCCCTCACCTCTCCCGAGAAGTCTTCCGGGACCTTTCCCTGGGGTGGGTTAGGTGCCCCTTCTCTACACTCCCACAGCCCCTGTGTGCGCCTGGCACCACCTGCATCTGTCTCTTTACAAGTCTGCCTCCCCACGGAGTGTAAGAATTTGGTTCATTCTTGTGTCCTTACTGCTCGGCTCGACATGCCCAGGCCTCGAGCGAGTGTTGGCTAGAGAAGTGCCCGCTCCCTGATACTACTCGCCCCCTGGTGGCAAGTGTGTCTGCCTCCCTTGGACCCGTGCACCCTCAGAAGCATCTTGGCAGAGCCCCCAGCTCACCAAGAACTGGACGACATCCTCGGGCTTGTGCTTGGCCGACTTGAACGCAGCCAGCCGGGTCACCACCAGGATCTGGTACTCCACGTAGCCCGACATCATCTTGCCCCGCACCTCCTGGTGCTGGGGCACGGTCAGGTCCAGGCCCGTGTGGACATTCTGAACTCGCCTGCCGAAGGGAAAGAAGGCAAAGGAAGCTCAGGTTCAAGTTGGCAGGCCTCTCGAGTGAAACGCAGGCAGGACTTCGGGACGGCCTAGCGGGCCTCGGTGCAAGGCTGCTCCACTGGCCGTCCTCAGTGGTCACTGCTCCAAGCCATCCACCTGCTCCTCATAAAGCCTGGCTTCCCAGGCCTGGGCTCTGCCTTTGGGTAGCTCCCAGACAAAAGGCTGTTCCCAGCAGGAAAACATTTGAGAGCAGAGAAGATGGGGTTTGTGGAAAATCACGTACAGCTAGGTATCTTACACAGATTCGGCACACGGCACGAGCTCCTGCAGGATTTGTGGGAACGGCATCCCGAGGGCTCTACTCCCACCAAGGAAAGGGCCTGGCTGTGTGTGCACTACGCAGGAATGAAACCCTGCCAGGAATCTGGAGAGAGACACATCTCTTCAGCCCACCCGAGGGCAGCAGAGCTACTACAGCACCTGCCCGGCTTGGGGAAGATGCGAGGGGCACTGGATGCGGGGCCCCAAAAGGCACTGACAGGGCTGCTGTGTGGGGCTTAGAGGAGATACTCAGCCAAACATTACAGCCGGGCCGGCCCCGAGGCTTAGCAGTTAAGTGCGCGTGCTCCATTACTGGCGGCCCGGGGTTCGGATCCGGGCGCCCACTGACATGTCCAGCCATGCTGAGGCTGCGTCCCACA